ATCGTCCTGACGTAAATGGTTCCCTCCCCCCTAGCGGTAAAAGCCCCCGGAAACGGTCGGCCTCCGTACTTGGACGAGAGCACAGAGCTTCTGCTCAGACGAAGAAGGATGCCTAAAATAATAATAATAAACAAAATAATAGCTAAGGAATTTCCCGTGATAATTATCTCTCTTTATTATTTTTCTTTTCTTCATTTCTTCTTTCCATTCCCAAAAGCATCTTTCCCTCTCTTTCTTCTGTACGTGAGCAGAGAGTTTTTAGGAGTGAAGTTATTAAGGGATGAAGTTTGTGGGTTTTATATTATAGTGATGAGAAACAGTCAAATGTGAGAGAGAAAAAGATGGAGTTAGTTGAGAGATAAAAATGTGGGGTTAGTTGAGAGATTTTAGAGGATTAGTTGAAGGAAATTTGACTTTTTCTAAAAAATATCCAACATATTCAGTCATATCATTTGAGGTATACGCCCCCCACGACCAGATCTTAAAATATTGATCTTTCTGTCAAGTTAGTTTTCAGATTCAGCTTTATACACCTTAAATCTATCTAAAACTTCATCTTTAGTTTTGAGAAGATAGGTGTAATAATATCTGGAGTGATCGTCTATAAAAGTACAAAATATCTCCTATCCCCTCGGGTGAGAACTCGATTCGAGTCACACACATCACTATGAATTAAATTCGAGAGGTTTGGAGTTTCTAGTTATAGACTTGAAGGGTTTTTTAGTGTGTTTCCCTTGAATACAAATCTCACATTTACATGAGGGATCATAAGAAGATTTAGGAATAAAGTTCAATTTATTCATTCTTTGCAAGGTTTGGAAATTGACATGTCCAAGTCGTCCATGTCAAACATCACAAGACTCAACAATTTGTGCAACAAAAGACTCAGGAATTTTATTAGAGCTGGAATTGATTACATTGAGCTTGAAAAGACCATTACAAGTAAAACCTTTTCCTATAAATACATTGTTCTTTGTAATAAAAAATTTATTAGATTCTTTTATAATCCTATATCCAGTTCTAAGAAGAAGAGATTCACTAATCAGGTTACGGCGGAGAGAAGGAACATGATGAACGCCTTGCAGATTTAGAGCTTTCCTAGAGGTCATGGTGAGCTTTATGCATCCACTTCCCATTATTTGTTTAGTGGAGTCATCTGCTAAGCTTATGCTTCTTCCATGTGATTCACGGTAAGTTAAAAACCAAGAGCGATCATTGCCAACGTGAATATTAGCTCCGGAATCCAAATACCAATCAGTGGAAGAAGTAAGAGAATTTACAATATAGGATGAAGAAGCTAACCTGTAGGAATTTGGATTTTCTTCAATCATATTAATTTTGTTAGATCCATTTCCTTTTGGAGCAGGTTTGGTCGGTTCCTTCTTCTGATAGAAACAGTTTAGAGCCAGATGGTTGGTTCTACCACAGACAGCAGAACTTTTTTATCAGACTTATGACTGGAAGGATAGAGATTGGATTTGGATTTGTTGAAGAATTGTTGGTTTTTCTTGAATTTCTTCTTTTTAGGTTTGAAATTCTTAGATTTAGGCTTATCCTCTACCAAGTTCACTTTAATTTTTATTTTAGTCTTGGCTTTGGAATTTTACCTATGCTGGTCTTCAATAGGAATAGCCTTGAGGGCTTCAGTTAAGGTTAGATCTCCTTGCTTGTGTCGGCGATCTCCAGCAAATCTAAATCAGGAGGGAGAGAGTTTATCAATCAAACATGAAACTTTAAAGTCATCAGTAAAGAAGTTTCCCTTTGGAGGTGACGAAGGAAATCTTAGAATTCATGAATTTGTTCATTTATGGGTTTGTCATCAACCATCATGGACTTATTGAAGGAAGATGAGGTGAAACGCAGAATTCTGGCATCATAGCCATATTCTGTCTCAAGAGCATTTCATAGATCTTTAGCACTTCTGAACTCATGATATATGTCATAAATATTGTCCGCAAGTGCACTAAGAATTCTATGGTAACAATGATAGTTTATTTCTTTTGGTTTCATATGACTAGAGAAGGAACTAGCATCAGAAGCAGAAGTGGAAGGAGTAGGTTGTTCAGGATCGGGAGTCTTAAGGGTTGAGAAGCACTAGAAGAAGAATCAAGAGTGTTTATAGCAGATAATAGGCCTAGGGTGGTGAGCCAGTATCTCATCTGATTAGCCCACCGTTTATAGTTAACACTGGTGAACTTCTCAGGTTTGACTCTCTTGGAATGGTTAGGGTTAGCCATAAGTTTGATTCAAGCTAACTAGTCTAGGTATTTGAAATCTGAGAAAGTGAAAGGGTTTTGTCAATACCACTCGATTAGTTATTTTGGAGATTATGACTTTAAAGGATGAGTTTGATGCAAAATTATTTATGACCTATAAAAGAAATGAACAAAGTATATATAAATATGATTCTAAAATAGGAGATAGCAAGAATAATTGTTTTTTATTAATTTATGAGCAGTAAAATTAAATTTTTTAATAAATAGTAACTATAATTTTTTTCGAGTGAACAATAACTTATAATGTACAGTAACTTCTAATATTATTTTTTTCTGAATTTTAAAATAATAGCTATAATCCTTAATCTTTTAGATTGTTAGATAAAAATTAAAATAAAGTTATAGTTATAGCATGCAAAATTCAAAAATTAAAAGAAATAAGAAAGTCTGGCCTGATCGGGAGCAGTCGTGTCGTGTAAACACAGTCCTAAAAGATTAAGGACCCGCCTATCGCCTTGACGCAGATGATCCCCTCTTCTCTAGCGATAAAACCCCCGGAATCAGTCGACCTTTGAACATAGGCGAGAGTACAGACCTTCTGCTCAGATGAAGGAGGTTGCTCGAAATAAAACAATACTAGAGAACAATTTTTTTTGTAAAATAGAGAGGGAAGAGCTTTGTAATTCTGTGTTTTCCTCGAGCTGAGTAAAGCGATATATATAGGATTTCGGTAACGTAACCCCTGCTGAATTCACGCATCCATTACGCAAAATTCGTGCAACCGTTACGCACGTGCGCACGAACTAGCCGTTACGAATTTCCGGGTCAAAAGGAAACGATTAAAACATGTAAAAATAAAATTTGAAAAACAAAAAACGCGTGCGCGTGCGGTGCAGTGTGGCGCGCCGTGAGGCGTGGCGAGGCAAGGCGCACGCGCGTGTGTTATGCAAAGCCCAAACAATACAAAGCCCAAAACACCTCCTTCTTAGGGATCCTCAAAGCCCAATGAGGGGAGAAGCAATTTAAACCTCTTACTATTCATAACACTAGTCCATGTGGGACTATTCATAGGAGGCAAAATTGCCTTTTCTCCCATAACATAGCCAACAAAAATTAAATTTAGTGAGCACTCTTTACTGAGACTGAGAGAGGGTTTTTTTTAAAGGGTATTTTTTAATCATTTTTGGTTTACCTCTTAACTTCGGTTCTGAAACTCTTCTAGGGGCAATGAGGAAGGCGTTCTGGAACTCCCCATAGCATAGTGGAATTTCCCAAGGTAGGATATTATGCGATTCACTCAAAAATTCAGATCTACTGAACACTTTTTGCTGACAAATAGAGGGGTTTGTTGGAAAAGGATACTTTATTTGAGTGGTTATAGAGTTAGTGATATTGTGTGGCTTGTTGGGGATTCGACATGGCTCACCCCCAAATTCAGGTTACTAGACACCCTTTGCTGAAATTGAGAGAGGGGGTTAATTTTTGAAAAGAAAAGAAGGTATTTTGGTAATATTTCCTACCACTTTACTTGTTTGTGAAAATTTTCCAGAGTCCGGTGGTTTGGTAAACCACCCAAAGTTCAGGGTGTTTTGTCATATTTACTCTTTTCATAATGGTGGAATAGTGTCGATTTGAGGCATCTGCTGTTTAGTGTCTCATGACCTCGTTGTGATTGAATTAGTGTTCACAGGGAGCGAGTTTGATTTCATTCTGGATCTTGTAACTTAGAATTCTACTGGAACTTTTGTACACTCAATGATTTGTTTGTAATGATATATCAATATGGATTGTATATCTTCATTTTTTGTTTAATGGATACTATTGTTTTTGTCTAGTATGAGAGTTCTATATTTCTGGAAGGATACTGTTCTCTAACTAAGTAAAATATGTTTAAGATTGCTTTGTTGGAAGTGGAATACCATGATGCTGATCTTCTTCTTTTTTGACATCTTAAATATTATCTCATTTAGCATGTTTCTGATATTTATAAAAATGATATGCTATTGTGGCAGATCAATCATTCTCAACAATGTTAGTTATAACCTTCTCTCTCTACTTGACGTGCATGACGTAAAGAAAGACAAATGTTAGGAAGATTTAATAAGCTAAAGGAAGTTATATTAACAATTTAACACCAGATGATATCCACAAACTTGGTTCCCTTTGTTGAAAATAGAGACCCTTTCACCTAGGCATTACCCAACTTATTTCCTCTTTAACAGGATTGCCATCAGGCTTTAGAGGGTGACAGGGACGGCTTATTTTTTTAAAGCTTATAAGCTAAATTGGCTTTTGGTGGCTTTTGGCTTTTATGATAAATTTTTTATAAAAGTTGTATGGATAGAACGGTAATTTGCTTGGTCGAAACTTGCTTATTTAAATGTGCTTATCAGCTAGTTTTTTAGAAGTCAGGAAAACCCAACTTTTTTAAGCGGGTCTTAAAAGCTAGATTATTTGAGATGTCACCAAGTATGTATATCTTGAAAACCTAGCTTATGAGCTACTTTGACCAGAAATAAGCTCCCCAAACACTTCTTAATCTTGTCATTTTCCTTGTGCTTAAGCCAACCCTGTTTTGAAAAAAAAGGTTGGATAATGATGATTAGTGCATGCTCTCAGGACTGACAAGGTTTAATTATTCTATGCTAATAATGGCTAGCCTTTTTAACTTTGGTTTTCTGTCTAGACTGATGCTTGATGAAATTATAATTATTTGGAAACATAAGATGAACTACTAGGGAGATGTATGCATTCACTATCTGCAATTTCCCTTGTATTGAGCAGGAAAAAGCACCTTGCTGAACCATCTTTTCGGGACCAACTTTAGAGAGATGGATGCCTTAAAGGGAAGGTATCTCTTTAAATCTTCTGTTCTATCGGTGTTTGTATGTATCCGAGACTTGCGATGCATATATAGTGATCCCTGTCGCATTTCAGGAACCAAACCACTAAAGGCATCTGGATTGCAAAAGCTCGGGGAATCGAGCCTTGCACAATTGTCATGGATTTAGAGGGTACTGATGGGAGAGAAAGAGGGGAGGTGCGTGCTTGTAGTTTTATTTTTGTAAACATATTTCTACTGTAACATTTCAATCTGTCTGCTACAGTTTCTTGATCATTGGTTTAATTTGGAGATTCATTGCATTTTATGAGATTCGCATATATACTTCTTGTGCAGATAAATCTGAAGGGAAATTCCATAATTAATGAAATATCATATTTTGATAGACTAATCTTTTAATTGAAAAAAACTAATATAGAATACTTTTTACTGAAATTATTGCAATTAAAATGCTAGTTAACGAACTATATACAAAGCTAACATTTTTTCTTTGAGGTAAATGAATATGCACTTAGTTTACGTCAAGACCAAAAATCCATTGACCTGTATTGTTTCCAAGTTGCGCAACAGTATTATGTTTCTTCCACATTGGTTTTTGATTTAGGAATTGTTTGGTTTATGAAAAGTTGTAACTGCAATTGCAATGACAATTTGCAAAAGGTTATATTTGCAGTTTTACCTGTTTGCTTTGCTGCAGTGACAGCCTTTTGGTAATTGTCATTGAAAAAATGAAGTTGCTTTTTGTAAAGTTGACTTCTGGTCTAGTCTATTGTCTCATTTTGCAAAAAGTGGCTCATTTTCACAACTGCTTTGGTAAGAAGACAGCAATAGCAGTGAAATGAACACCTGCAATTTCGCTAACTTTGCAAATTGTCATTGCAATTGCGGGTACAATTTACCATGAACGAAACAGTCGGCTGTCCCTTGTTGATTTAGTTCATCCTTCCTCGAGGTCTTTACTGTCTGTCATATTTCTTGCAGATGTAGTCTCTAGAATTCTCTTTCCTTTTTCTTTTTTTTCCCTTTTCCCTCTTCTTTCCCAAGTTCAGGCAGCTGGTGCAAATTTTCTCTTGTGACTAATGGATCTGGTATCTGATATTTGATACATAACCATTGCTTTTGAGGTTTTCTGGCATATAATAGTGTAGTTTGGAGGTATTGATTCTCTTTGTAAATGCCTCACGAGGGCCAGGAAAATAATAGATAGATGAGAGCAGGATTAGTTGCTAGGAAAGGAGCTTAGGCCATTTAGGCTCTTAAGGAAACAGAAGGAGATACGGTTCAGGTGTGGTTGAAGACTGATTTTGAGGAAGATCTGAAATGAATTTAGGAAAGAGAGTAAGAGGAAGAATTAGTAACTGGTCTGGATAAGATTTCACACCTTCAATCGGATCTCATATTGTTGACTTAGCATAAGGGATAATCAAATGGGGAAGAACTTCTCTTCATTTTATAATTTGAATCAAGTCTGCATAATATAAAGATACCTATTGTACACGATGCATACACTCATATTAGTGCAGTTTTCCCCCCCTGCACATTTGGTCAAATAAATGCCATTGAGTAAGTCCAATAAGCTTAATAGACCTGTTACATAATATATGAGTAAGATCTTTTATTTAAAGTGCAAAGTTATAAATCATAAATAAGACCCTAGCACGGATTTTGTCTTCTCTTAATTCTTCATAACTTTTGTGTCTTGCTATCAGATCACAGTAATTCATGATTTTCAAATCCTAGTTCAAGTTAAAATAATTATCCTTAAAAAGGAGCTTGCTTTGTGCCTAAATACCTCAGCATAGACTCGACCATCAAAACCACAGCCTGCGGTTAAATATCTTGCCACCATCTGGGGTTATGCCTCCCAACGCCACTCTGACAACCTCGTAGTCTCAATGCCATGATGAACTTATCATCACATGGCCAGACCTCAAATTTACCCTGACTTCAAGATGATATTTGTGCCTCAGTTCTGCTTCCCCAATTTTGTCTCCACCTCACAGTTGGTGCTCCAACATCTTGTTGATGAATTCTCCCCGACTTTGCCACAAAAGAAGCTGCCTTGATCTTAGCCTGAAAGAGCTGCTGCCATGACGTAGTTGTTGCCATATTGCCATTGCCATTGCCGCCTCACTTGAGATCAGATTCTCTGTAGATCCGATCTGATCTCTCAGGTAAAAGGTAAAAGAAAAAGAAAAGCATAAAAGAAAACCCAATAATGAATGTTTGGAATTTTGTGTTCTTGGTGTTTGAGGTTTTCTGTCCATTTATGAGTTGATTCTAGGGGATTATCTCATTTCATATATGTTAATAAATCTCAAGGGAGAATCGAGTGGTTTGTTATGTAGTATTCTTTGATTGGGAGGAATATATTGTTGTTTCTGGGGAAATTATCATGAGAACTAAGCGATAATCTCAAGGAAGCCTTAGGAATCTGTAAAATCAGTTATACTGGATAATAGTACGAGGTACTTTCACATTAATTCAAGTGATTTACATTCATGTTGATCTCAAAATCATTCTGTAACACTGGCCTGAGCTAGCTTTTATGAGCAGTAATTATTTTGTTTTTGTCAGGATGACACAGCATTTGAGAAGCAAAGTTCTCTTTTTGCTCTGGCAATATCAGACATTGTTCTAATCAACATGTGAGTGGATGACTGCTTCTTTATCTATTTCTACTCTCTTAGTATCTAGTAGTTGCCACGAAGAGCAGTGCTTTGCCTTAAAAAATTAGTGCACTTGTCACGATTCTTCTGGGATATGCGTATTCCTCCTGTTATTATATATTACAATTGCGTTTGTCCAGGTGGTGCCATGACATTGGCCGGGAGCAGGCTGCTAACAGGCCACTTCTGAAAACAGTATTTCAGGTGTTTTGTTTTTCTGACTCTCTTGGAATTCATCAAAATCCTGGGTATCTTCTTCACTTTTTTTTTCTTCAGGTCATGATGCGATTATTCAGTTCTCAGAAAACGACATTGCTATTTGTTGTTCGTGACAAAACAAAGGTTCACTTCTTTAATGCTTCAAGATTTTGAATAAAAATATTTCTTTATTTCTGCTTCTATAACATTTGATTCTTATGTCTTTTTCATTTTGAATATCATTTCTGTAGACTCCATTTGAACGCTTAGAACCTATTTTAAGGGAGGATGTACAGAAGGTAATTTAGTAACATTTTATTTGCCACATGCATTTTCTTTTCCTTTATTTAAGTGTCAGACGCTTGTTGCTTTTCTGCAGATTTGGGATACTGTTTCAAAGCCCCAGGCCTACAAGGACACTGCATTGAGTGAATTTTTTAATGTAAGTGGTTTTATGTACCAGAAGATGCTTTGGCGTGTGTCTATTCTGAGTTACTAGTGTTGGGCTTTCAGGTTGAGGTCACTGCTTTGGCCAGCTATGAAGAGAAAGAAGAGTTATTTAAGAAGCAGGTAAGGGGAAAGTGCATTAGCTAACATATTTAAGTATTTCTCTCTTCTCTCTTTCCACATTTCTCTCGGAGAGCTAAATTCTGCTATGCATTTTCCTGCTAATTTAAGTTCATTTTTGCTGTCTTATTTAGTATTTTGTAGATTTTGTATATCCACAACATCAGCAGAGGATGATAATAAAGTCTCCATTTAAAACTTCGATTTCGGCAAATCAAGTACATTAACTTTATTAACAACCAGCTGCTTTAGCATTTTCTGAAGTGTTCCTAAATTTACTCTACCCAACCTAGACCTACTCTCGTATGACACCTTCTTATCCCTTGATCATATTATTCAGGAGCCGATGCCTACTTAAACACCATGTTGAGGGCCAAATTTGGGGCCATTGGAACCCTGAACTAATTCTTTGTATGTTTGTCATCTCAGTATGCTGGTGCATTGTTTCTCATCCTAAGCTAATCTTAGTCGCTATTATGGTTTTCACATTTTCATTCTTATGCAGGTTGCTCAACTGAGGCAGCGTTTTCTCAATTCAATAGCTCCTGGAGGTCTTGCTGGTGATAGACGAGGTGTTATTCCTGCTTCAGGATTTTCTTTCAGTGCACAACAGATTTGGAAGGTTATAAGGGAAAATAAGGATCTTGATATTCCTGCTCACCAGGTATATAAATGTACTAGTTGCTAACAGTCGACATTCGTTTTTTCCTTCTCACTTTTTTCTTTCAATCGTATAGGTAATGGTTGCAACTGTTCGCTGTGAAGAGATTGCAAACGAAAAACTAAGACATTTGACCTCTGATGAGGTAATCATGCATGTACACCATTTCATTCTTCAGCAAAAAGCAGCGTTCATACTGAACGATGTTTGTCTTTAGGCTTGGTTGGAGCTGGAGGGAGCTATTCGATCTGGCCCAGTGTCAGGGTTCGGGAAAAAACTTGGTTCCATCCTGGATGCTTATCTTTCAGCGTAAGTCACCCTTCTCTTATGCCTTTATATTAGCCCAAAGTATAATACGTTTGTGAGATGTGGTTTTAGCTATGGCTTCACATCTAAGGTTTCAGTTTATTCCTATCTTATGAGGCTCATTCTGTTGTGTCATGTTTTCTCATGTGTATGTATATACATATACATATACATATACATATACGTCTACATATATGTGTATACATGTATACACATGTGTATACATATATGTATATAGTGAGGCATTTCCCTAGCAGACCCAACGTAGCAAGGACAAGCATTTTGATTTGATATAGTGAGGCATTTCCCTACCAGACCCAATGTAGAGCAAGGACAAGCGTTTTGATTTGGTACAGTGCTTGTGCCTGCACTAGATTTGTTGTGGTTGTATCTATTACGGACTCCTCTTTTGGGCTCCCTTATCCATGCCTAACACTTCTCGTATATGTGTTCCGTGTCCAACACTCATTGGGCACTTCTCGTATATGTGTGCACTCAATTACATAATACATGTTTTAGTTTAAAACACTCTTCTTGGATGTATATCTTACATCACCTCAAATTTCTGCAATCCGTTGGACTTAGGTTGAGTTCGTTTCAACCCATACCCAGTTCATAAGTATGATTAGAAGGTCATTTAGGTATCTAGTTCAAAAAGAGTAGTTTTCCAATTTATGATATACTCGATAAGGAAACATAAAAATGTTGTAGGGAATTCAGGTCTCATAACATGTTAACATGTAACTGAAAAAAACATATCTATCTCATATAAATTATTTTTTCTAACATATTGCAAGGCTCCGTTCCGTAATCCCTTTAATACTGGCTGTTGATCATGCATGAGTAATCTAGATTGTTGATTTCATCAAATCATCAAATCATGGCACGTGGCATAATCATTTTTGCAACATTCATGAGCTTTGATTGTGCTTTATGGTTTTAAAGTGATTTAAATGAGTTTTTATATGCATTAAGGCCTAATGGGCTTTAGCGCAATGGGTGGACCCAGTAGGAGAACCAAACCCATGATCCATTAGCTTCCCTAAAATTTTCTCCAAAATGGGGAAGCAAAAGTCATATTCTCCAAATTATTTTTACACCAACTCCAACAGCTTCCCTATTTTGAAGAATCCCTTTTTTCCTCCAAAAATTTGGAGATTGCTGTAGATTTAGGGAAGCTTCCCCATTTTTTCTCCTCCATCCTTATTTTGGGGAATGAGATGGGGAGTCTGTTGGACCAAAAACCTAACTAAATTCTTCAAAAGTGGAAAATGAGGAAGCTGTTGGAGATGTTCTTAGGAGCAGAGATCAAGAGCTTGGAGGCCAAGGAAAACTAGAGGAGAGAACTTCATCAAGCAAAGGCAAGTAATTTATACTTGCAAAACAAATTATTTTATGATTTTCCAATTGTTTTATGTTTTTTTTGTTTTCCTCAAGTCTTGGGTCTTTCTTTGCTAAAACTCTTATCAAATGGTTTCCATTGAAGTAAATTTGGGTATGGCTCTGGTCTGGGGATGAAAACCCTATGAATTGGATTGAAATCATATACAGCACGAAAAAAGGGAAGGGCCCATAAGTTGATTTTGAGAGTTGCATTTTGAGCATGATGTTTGCGATATGTCGAGTTCTATTTTGATTGAGAGTTCGGAGGTGTTTATGAGTGGATTTCTGATTTTCTTCTTCTAATTCTTTTATCCTTATTCCCAATCCATTTATAGCATTTCGATGCTTTTAACTCTGAAAATTGCCAATTGTAAACCAAATATCATCGAGGCAATGTAAAATTTGATTACTGACTCCTAGATTTCTCCAAGTAGCAATAGCAGGTTAGATTCACATTTATTTGGGCTTCCTGTAGATTGAGCTTGCGTACCAGTCTTCTTCAAATATGCTGTTTTCATTGAAAATCTCTTGATTCATAAAAATAGGATATAATTTTTCTTTGTCAGAACTTTTTGGACTTGATTCAGTGGATTTCAGTGGTGTCTTCTGTACCATATGTAGTTGTGTCTGAATCATCAGATTTAATTGATGACTCAAAAGTCTAAGTCATTTACATCTATACATCCACTTATTTCTGATCCTGATAAAACCTCATATTCACTTAGCTCATCTAATATTATATTAACCATTTTATTACTATAACATTCATTCACAAAGTGTCCCTTTGTCCTCATTTAAAACATGTACATTCTTTTTTATCTTTTACTTAATATTTTCTTTTGGAAGAAATCCTTTTTGGTTTTTTATTGTTGGAACGGTAAAAATCAGAAATGATTATTAGGGTTTCTCCACAAGGGTCCAATATATAGGAGTACAAATGGTAATGGGTTGTTTGGTCTAACCCGATAACCCAATACTAATTCTAACACTCCCCCTCAAGCTGGAATATATATATCAATCATGCCTAGCTTGTTACACAGAATAGAAAACACCTTAGGTGAAGTAGCTTTAGTGAGAATGTCAGCTAACTGTTCTGAAGACGGAGTGACTGAAGAGACATCACTTTCTTCTCCCAAGCATCTCTAACAAAATTACAATCAACTTCAATGTGCTTAGTTTTCTCATGAAACACTAGATTCTTTGCAATATAGATAGCTGACTGGTTATCAAAATACATAGGCATAGATTCAGGCTGAGTAAAACCAAGCTCTGTCAACAGCTTCTGTAACCATATCATCTCACAAACATTGTGAGCCATAGCTTTGTATTCTGCCTCTGCACTAGATCGAGAAACTACATCTTGTTTCTTGTTCCTCCAAGTTACTAGGTTTCCTTCAATAAATGTGCAAAATCCAGAAGTAGATTTTCTATCTCCTATGTCTCCCGCATACCTAGCATCAGAAAAACAGAGATGTGTAAATGTCCATATTTCTTATAGAATAATCCTTTTCCAAGATAGCTTTTAACATAAGCTAAAATTCTCAGAACAACAATTCAGTGAATCTCTCTAGGTTTATGCATAAACCTGCTTAGTACTCCCACTGCAAAGGTAATATCAGGTCTGGTCACAGTAAGATAAATCAACTTGCCAATCAATCTCCTATATCGACATGCATCATCTCGGAGAGGACTATTATCACGTCACAGATCCACATTCACTTTCATTGGAGTGTTTGTTGGCTTACACCCCAAAAGACTCATTTCTTCTAACAAGTCCAATACGTATTTCCTTAGAGATAGAAGCAAACAGTCCTTTTGATATACAATCTCAATCCCAAGAAAGTATTTGGGTTTTTTCATATCTTTGGTGACAATAACGTGAAAGGTCTTTACTAAGGCAGCAAAGTCATTCCTAGTTAGCAGAATATCATCAACATATACTGTCAGAATCATCAAACCAGATGTAGTGCGTCGGATAAAGACGGAGTAATAAGACAGACACCGTTTAAAACCGACACCAGATGTAGCAGTACTAAATTTCTCAAACCATGCCTGTGGACTTTGTTTGAGATCATAAATCACCTTTTTTAAGCTTGTAGACAGTATTCTCCCCCTGAGCAACATACCCCGAAGGTTGCTCCATATAGACTTCCTCCTGTAAGTCACCATACAGGAAATCATTTTTAACATCCAGCTAAAACATACAGTCCAGATTAACAGCCATAGAGAAAAGTAGGCGAATAGAATTGAGACGGGTAACGAGAGAGAACGTCTCAAGATAGTTGACCCCATAGGTTTGAGTATAACCCTTAGCAACAAGACGAGCTTTATAGCGATCAACAGAACCATTTGTGCGATACTTTAAGGTATATACCTACTGCCAGCTAGCCACAGTAGCACCCGTAGGAAAAGGAACAAGATCCTATGTCCCTTTAGAAATAAGTACATCCATCTCCTCATCCATGACCTGTTTCCAAGCAGGAACCAACACAGCCTTTTCATATGACCTGGGTAGAGATATAGAGGACAAGGACAAAGTAAACCGACGAGAAGGGAGAGTAAGACGGTCATAGGAAACAAAATAAGATATAAGATGATTAGCACAAGACCATTTACCTTTCCGATGAACAATTGGAATATCCAAATCAGAAGAAATAGAAGTATTAGGAGGCAGACCTGCAACTGGAGATGACTGTTCGGTTGGAGTAGAGAGATGGATAAGAATTTTTGGACGGCGAGAATATGTCAGCAGTGGCGGGGGGGGGGAGGCACAGTAGAGGCATCTTGTAATCCGAGAGATTCATCAGCAGAAGGAACGAAAGCAGACAATGGAATAATAGTAGGAGCAATAGACGGAAGAGACACACATTGATTGACAGTTGGAGATGAATCAATCGAAGAGAAGTATGGAATACTCAAAAAAGGTAAAATCTGCGGAGACAAAATACCTTCTGGTGGATGGATTATAACACAGATAACCTTTTTGAATACGTGAATATCTTATAAAGACACACTTAACAGACCATGGAGACAATTTATCCAGGCCCGGAGACAAATTCCGAGAGATGGATAAGAATTTTTGGACGGCGAGAATATGTCAGCAGTGGCGGTGGTGCAGAGGCACAGTAGAGGCATCTTGTAATCCGAGAGATTCATCAGCAGAAGGAACGAAAGCAGACAATGGAATAATAGTAGGAGCAATAGACGGAAGAGACACACATTGATTGACAGTTGGAGATGAATCAATCGAAGAGAAGTATGGAATACTCAAAAAAGGTAAAATCTGCGGAGACAAAATACCTTCTGGTGGATGGATTATAACACAGATAACCTTTTTGAATACGTGAATATCTTATAAAGACACACTTAACAGACCATGGAGACAATTTATCCAGGCCCGGAGACAAATTCCGAACAAAACAGGTACAACCAAAAACACGAGGAACCACATGAAAATTTTTTCTCAGGATAAGTGCAGATGAATGGTATTTTACCATTAAGGACAGATGAGGGCATCCTATTGATCAGGAAACATGCACTGAGAACAGAATCAGACCACAAATACTTTAAAACATTCATATGTATCATCAGGGTTCTAGCAACATCTAAAATATGTCTAT